GTTATTTTTTCACGAGCGTTGAAAAGTATTTCTAAGAACGAAATCGACTTTCTATCACAAGCATTGTCTTAAACCTTATATCCTTGGAACTGGAAGCGTCTAGCAACAGCTATCCTTAATCGCACATAGAAGTCCAGTTGTTGCAAGGTCTTCTGTGTAAAAGCTGCAACGCCAATATACATGCCAGTTCTCATACTCACCGCCGATTTCTTGTATGGCCAACCCAATATTTGGAGTGGCTTGATAATTCTTAGTTGGCTTCCTCAAGAAACCTAAAACCCTCTTCTTGAGGTATTGATCCGTACATTCTTACAGTCAATATACAACTTTTAATCAGTCACACTCCAATCTATAGTATGCTAGCGTAGCTGATTTTAGCAACGCCGTCTCTGAACACTTTTCTCGACATAATCTCTTCATTGTCATTTTGACATTAGCTTTACCCAGGTCGAAGCGGGTACATCGGATCCTGTTGAGCGGGTTTCAAATCCGTTGTCACACGGCTAATCGGATTCGATCGGATTAGCTTCGTCGGATTCCGATGCAATCCACTCTTTTCCTTTAATATCTGCTGGTCGGATTCATCGAGTTCCGACCAGATTCGTACGTTCGGAACCTGTCAGACTCGGTATCAGGATTTGTTCGCTTCCGATATGATTCAGGGTAATCTGATATCAAGAAATGGTCGGAATTTGTGGTTTCACTATACACCCGATTTCATGATAAAACGTTCAATCCCTGGTATCGGAACTTGTCGGATTATATAAGAATATAGGAGTTCCATTGATTGAGCTTCTCAGTGTTCGATAGCATAGATACGAAAGGAAGCAGATACTGGTGCATGTCGAAAATAATCAGAAATCCATGTATGTGACTCATTGCAATGGCTAGCGTTTCGTAGAAGAAATAATATTCGATAGTTGGATTCGACACCCGTTCCACTACGTTTTTGTTGAGCAAAATCGGACAGAATGAATGGCATGGTAATATATGTATCAAAAATGATAGCCATTATCAAATATAAGTAACTGAAAATAGTTGCTGTATATCGAGATAATGATTGCTTCAGTATTAAACAATTTAAGTGAGGCAAAAAAGGTAGCATTTAAAATTAATTAAACTTTTGTGCAATGATCAAAGTGGGCAAAAGAATTTCTTCATTTCATGATCTCTTTTTTTTCGATGATTTCTATTAATTTCAATTTATTTTATATTGCTAAAGATCGTTTTGTTCCCTCTCAACAATCATACTGTCGTCATATTTAGAAAAAAGCAAAAAGTTAATTGAATTACCGTTGGCTATTTGAAATGAATCTTAGTTGAATAATTTCAATAATCAGTTAACATAGATTAAAAGCTATTAAAATCAAAACGAAATCGATCGCTAACTTAAAAAGATAGATTAAAATCATATATAAGCTCTCCCTTTTCAACTAATTAAAAGTCTATTTTAATATGATTTTTTGTGGAAATTTTTTTATGGGCATCTATGATGAATTACGCATTGATTTTCACAAAAAACCTGGTCGATTATGTATGAGTCATATTCAAATATTTCGATTCTTTTATAGAGTACTGATGTCCACTATACAAATTCTGCAAATTATTTCTTTACCAATTCGTAATAAAGCAAAGTTAGCTGCTTTTTTTTATTGAATTCTTACAAGAGATGCGAAAGAAAGTCGATAGTTACGAGAACAGTTTTCTATTTTAACAGCTCTGTTTCGAATTGCATTCGTTTCATTCGGAGACACTGGTGTATCTTATACTGATTGTAAGGTATACTTTCTATAAAATTAGAAGATCTGGAATGTGTTTGTGTAATGAAAAGACTATCATTTCTATTACTATGGAATACTTGTCAGACTATGAGATCTATTATAATATATTTATTCATCTTTTCATCTTCTTTTCGTCTTTCTTTGATGATATATGCGATGTTATATGGTTAGTCAGTTGATATAAAACGAAATAAAGTTTTTGTTCTACATATCTGAAATCTGATTTTTCACTTAAGCTGATCGGGGAAAGTAGAACATAACTATAGTTTAGCCCTCAGTTGTGCTGTTTGTATAGTCAAGATATGCATTATTATTTTCTTTTGCTTCATTTAAATCTTTCAAAACAGCTGTTTTTTGAACCATTAGAAAAAGAAATCAAATGAGACAATCTAAACAATAACCAATCTATCGAAAAAATTCCAACATGTATTGGTATCGCAGCATATTTATTTATTTCGATTGATCCACTATTTATTATTTAAGCGATTGAGTGGAGGTTTTTCATTAATAGTCACAAAACTCGCTCATTATACTTGTAGATACACTTGAAATCAGCATGATATTTATTTTAAAGAAATTCATTAATCTGAAAATAAATGGTATGCATACATAAAAAGCAATAGATATCCATATCTTACGCACCTCTTCAATCAAGTACAGTAGTAAATCATGATTTCTACAAACTTCTTCAAATATACATACATCTGAGAACATGCTATCTCAAATCAAAAGCGCTTTATAATTTCGTAATGAAAGCATATATTGTAAATATTTCTCTAGCAGAAAAAGGCAATTGATTGTACAATTTTTGAAATTCATATTCTTGTTTTCGATTATCATTCAAGGTTTTCTCATATTCATTAAGAAATTGTCAAGTACCGCGAAATGTATATTTTGAATAATCGTTCAATCATCTTTTATATTTCAGTTTTAGAAAATATCTATCTAATGTCGAAGCGTTTTCATTAATAATTCAGCTAAATTTCTAAAATCTTCTTGAGATTAATCCTATTTTCAATCATTCCTTTTTCTAATACAACCACATTATTCACCTAATCGAATTCATCATCTAGCATGCGTTCAGCTAGACGCATTTGCTAATTACTTAATAACTTTGACATTTCTTTTATGGAGAAATTTTCGAAAAATATTAAAAATCTAGAAATACGATTGCATCAAGATTTCATTCACCGTTTTGTTTTTCAGATACCATTTATATAAACATGCATTTTCTTTACTATTTCAAGTACACTTTAAAATTCTTTTAACCAACTTCTACATATGAAGTAGCCACGAACCTAATATATATGTTGCATTATTCTAGGAATAATCCAAGTATATATATAGCTCGGTTATAGGAAAAATTGTAGTGTATCAAATGCGTGATTCTGCGAAGGATCCCAGTTGAAAAAAATACAAGCTTTTTTCACTCTAGAGAAAATACTTGTGAAATCTTCAATAAATCCAAATTAGTGCTTGTGCAATCTAGAAGCACTCTAGGTTAGATGTTCAGAAATTTTCATGAAACCCAGAGAAATCTTGAGGAAATCCATGGAAATCTTGAGAAATCTTGATCAAATCTTTAGAAATTTCGATGAAATCTGTCCAAGTCAAACTTCTTTTCGCCTGCGCATGACATTCTTAAGAATCCAGACTTAGAAATCCATGCTCTATGAAAAAGCCTGGAGGCAACACTTTAGGCCTTATTTTGAGCTCAAGCCCCTATGTTTCTTTGAGACCTGTCCTATTTCCGTGAATTCTGAACTCTTGAGGAATCCTGAATCCAAAGATTCGCATCCTCAGTCAGTCAATATCGAAAGGAATCCAAGAAAATCGACGACTCTTCATTTGTGGGAGAACCCAGGGAGCGTAAGGAAGTGAAAGAGCCTGAAGATGTCAAGGAGCTATAGAAACTGAAGGAAGTCAAGAAATTCGAGGAATTCAGAGAATCCAAGGAACTCAAGGATTTAAAGAATCCACAGAATTCAAGGAACGCAAGCTGCTTCGGGAGAAAAAGAAAGTCAAAGAAGACAAGGAACTCAAGGAATCTATTCGTTCTCTTTGTCCAAGTACGTGATTCTTTGGATTCAGCATTCCTCAAGGGTTCAGAATTCATGGAATTCGGACACTGCTGGTTTCTTTAACAATTGCTTGACATTCTCAGTCATGAGCAGGAGTTCTTCTATACACAGAATTCATGAGCTTCAATATCGAAGATTCTACTTCACCATAGTCATTTCTTCGATGTGAACCCAATCTACGTTTGGATTACTTAGGAGTGTGTCCAATTAATGTTTCGGGTACTTAGAAGTGAGCCNATTAAGAGTAATGATATGTATATTATGGTTCAGAAGATCCTATGTACTTGAAATCGAACAAAAGTTGCCAGTAAACCGTTCAATATAATGTTTTCTATATCGGTCGTAGTTTGATGCTTAAATTGGCGACTATTCTCTGATCACTATTCTACCGTGTGTATACATATAGTCGTTCTCTAATAGACAGTAAAGTGTGTGAAGATGGAGATCAACATGTTCTTTATCGAAATAAATAGATTCATATTACTGTAACTTAGAGTTCGACGGTTGTTCTAAAAAATATTGGAATTAAAAACCAAACCGAAACCGTTAAATCACATCCGATAGATACAAAAATTCTTCAATGTATGTCGAGAAATCTTCATTTTTTCATTCGTGAGATAAAACATGTCATTGTATATGTATTATGTTGCTTTGTTTAAATACTGAAATATGAGGCGTTTTTAACCTCCACAATATTGAATATTTGAAATTCAAATATTCACAGAAATACACACAGAAAGCATCTTAGTCGCTGATTACATACGAAGGGAATATCTGAAAATGTTTTTCAATAATTGAATTCAACTTTCAAGTTTGACACTATTATCTTTGTCATAGATTTTTTAACGCGTTCATCGTCACTGCAACATCCCTATTTTTTATCATACTTTAGTAGCATCATTTCAAATAATTTATAGTTTTTGCAAATTGAAGACGAATATTTATTGGATTTTTATTATTCATAAATAATTATGTACCGATGGTATGCAATCTTGTTTTTCCAATGTTGTTATTTAATTTTTTTCAATAAAATATTTTTGTCTCCATAAATCTGTTTCTACAAAACAAAAGTAAATTACAAAGAAAGTCTTTTTTTCTTCAAACCTTGCCGTCGTCGGATACTAATTTCATTATGTAATTATCTCAATTGATGAGCAATTTTTGCACAATTGTTTTCTAATTCAATACGTTTTGCTTTTAATTTTTGAAGACGATTTGAAATTTTTACAACTTAAATATAAATAATTTATAGAAATCAAAGTTTTCTTTAATCAAGTGATATACCATCATGTATTTTATTTTCTTCGGCATAATTTTCATAAGTTGATGCTCTTCTTTCTTTTTGTAAATGTTCATATTCAATATCACCAGCTCTAAAAGCAAAAACGCTTAATACAATCTCTACGAGATTAAAATGCAAAACACAATGTAGTTGCTGTTGCTATTTTGTTTCATTCTATCTTTTTTGGGGCACATCATCCTTGTTCTCAACCTTCCAGAAATGCAATAATGAAGTAGTTCATTTATTATAACAAGATGCTATCAATATACAGTCTGTGATGTTTCTATGGTAATGTCTGTCACAATCTCTGACTAGAGATGCATCAGTTCCAGTTTCAAACTGTTCAACAGGTATTCACTGGGTGTTTTTTTGTTGCCCTCTTACAAACTTCATACTGGTACATGCTTAAATCGCTACTGGTTATCATTGAGAACATACTCTTATTTTCGTAGGAGTAAAAAGTTATTGTTACCAGACAGTTGCGTTATCAGGTAACTAGTAATAGGGTAACAAAAAAATCTTGAACTTGATTTTTTCATTGAATAAAGGCTTTCTGGAAAAGGTAACGACATCTTATAAAGTTTAATCAAATGTCCTTGGAGTAGAAGCAAATTGACTGAGAAATCAAGCATATAATTTCAAGAAACCAATTACATATTAGGATTCTTCGATTCCGAAAACCTTCATTGAAACTTTATAAACAGTGATTACTTTTCCAAAAAAGAGTCTTTCTTCAGTGAATAGATAAAGTACACGAATTTTATTTTATTCCGTTACCCACTACTAGGTAACGGTAACTTGCCACTCCATAGAAGACAAGAATATCTTTTGTATGATAGCTAGTAGTCCTTTAGATATGTACCAGTATGAAATAAATCAGTAAGCAAGTAAAAATATCATCCATACTCTTACCAGTATTTTTATAGCAATAAGTTGATGTAATTAAAGTGACTTAGAAAAAAATAAAATACTGTTAAAGTAGCTCAATAAGTACTAGTTAATTAACCGATCACTCTGTTACTGAAACTGGTAGATTCCTATCTCTGACGTGAAGTCGAGTATTGCTAATGTATCTGTCACAATCCGTAAAATGTCCAAACTTTTACTCCTAAACTTCAATACACCTTTTCAATCGAGTTTCACAAGTAAAGAAAACTTACAAAACAAATCCAAGAATCAATTTACATTTCTCGTTTATTTTTCTCTAACGAAAATAAAGAAGAAAAAAAAACAACACTAATTCATATATTGTCATCTGTCAAAATTTAGCTGTTGTTATTGTACGATGAGTCGAGTTAGGAATGAGTGTCTGTCAAGGAAATAAAATTTAATATGAATATATCGATGAAAATGTGAGTGTTAGACAAATGAAATTAACATTAATACAACCTCTATTCATGATGATCTATATCGTCTATATGTCTGGATTATATTAAATAATAAATTTTTATTTCAAAATGAAAGAAATAACTTACTTTTGTTGTTGTTTTATATGATTACGATGGCGATATTTTCGAAAAGCATTTTGAATTTTAATAGCTGCTTTTTCTTTTTCATTTTGACTTTCTAGTTCATGACGTTTTCGAGCTAATTCCTTTTGAAGTAAATAAAGACGTTCTTGTTCTTCACGTAATTTCGCTAAATTTCTAAAACAATAGATATTAACTATAGTTATTAGTTAATAAAGGAGTTGTTTACCGTATATTAGATTCACTTAAACGTGTTGAATTTCGTCTGATAATGAAAGAAAAAAATTTTCATTAGGCTTCTTTTTTTTTTCTTTAAACATTTACTTCGGAAACGTAGGAGTAACTGGAGAAATTTGTTGTATATGATTACGATTAAATAATGGATGAAGTAATGATGGTCCATCCATTGGTTTTATCCAACTTTGTGAACTCATTACTGATCCACTCATTGTTGATTCTCGTGATAAAGGATCTGTTCTATGTTCATCATTATGATGTTCTCCGAGTATATAAATCTGTAAGATTTTATAAATTTATTTCAATGATAGAAAAAAAAATTAAAAACATACTTCAGGTGCAAATGTCTAGAAAAGAAAAATATATATAAAGGTATTGTACATAATTCCATGAGAAATTAAAGCTATCTTGGTCTAACTATTTTTTTACTCTGTTTACTGTCTTCGGACTACAGAGATTAAAGTGAGTGTAACCTTGCGGTATAGAGGGTGAGTAGGGGGAATTTTTCAATGAAAAAAAAAGTTCGCCAAACGATTTGAAATATGCCTAGTTCTTACCAGTTTTCAATGCTGATTCCGAATATCACATTGGTTTTGATTCAACCCATAGCTTTTCTAACTAAAACGTCTTAAATATGGGCTAAAAAGACATAAAATTGCGTATCAAGAACTTGCGCTGAGCATTTCTCAGATGGCCAAGCTTTTCGGAGCTTACAAAATAGATGGTTTTGTAGCGCTTGAAAAGTACTATCGTCTGATATATAAAGAGTTACTTCAACAGACTCTCTGGGATAACCATCAGGTGACAAACTAATCAGCAGCAGCTTACTTAGGAATAATGATCAAAGAACTGACAAATAGAAAACACCAATAACTTTTCTCAATAGACTTGTTCTTATAGGAATGGATGCAGAATTGAATGCTCTATCTAATGAGACTAACATGAAATGAAATGAATATCTCTGTACAAAGTTATTAACAAGATATTCCGTGATAACAGCAACCATGTCGATAGTGATAGTATTTGGGGTCGTTATTACCCTAGATACGATCGAAGCGACTTGAAATTACTACCAAACGACTCAGCATAAAATTCTACATCGAATGATATATAGGAGTTTTAGAAATTGGATATGGGCCAATTTGAAGTCTTATCGGCCCCCCTCCTTTTTTATTAGATAATAAAAAATATTTACAAGAAGAATTAGAATCAACACATATTTGTACTAGGTTGGAAAAATATTTTGATAGAGAGTACCGCTATATTTTCAAATAGAGTTAATAATGAATTTTATACCAAATGAAAGCCCGTGAAAAATGGGGTTTATTGATACTAAACAATAAGAATTATGGAAACCTTCGTATGTTGAAACTATTGAAGTTTAAAGAATTTTTCATAATGCAATCATTATAATTCATTTTTAGCGGGTTGTAAGACGAAGAAAAAAGGAAATAGCTTTTGGAAAAATTGAAAAGAGCACTGTTCTGGTGATCGTCAGGCCTTACTATGATTCAGAAGATGCAATTTTCCTTTTGCGTTCTGTTGTCTATTACTTGTGATGACGGTGAAGAAAAAAGACTTTTTTATTTTTCTTGTCTTAGAAAGTTAGAGAACAGGAAAGTTCGAGAAGTTTATGAAGCAGTCTATAAGATCATTTTCTGATCAATATCTTTCATTAAAAATCTATCCTTTCGGTGCATCAATTAAATCTAATCATTCTAAATGGCTGGTACTTATGATATTGAAGAGAAAAGAATTATTGATAGAATTAAATGCATTGCTTTTCGTGAAGCTCGAGATGCTGGTGCAACATTTCTTGATCGACATTGGGTTGCGAAGAAAGTTCATCGTTCAGTTCAATTTGTTACAGACTGGTGGAAAAAACCTTATGACCAATGTTTTGTTGATTATTCAAATACCGGTCGAAAGCTTAAATTATCACAAGCAAGTCAAGACATCATTCTTAAAGCGAGTGGTCGACAAAGAAAAAGTTGTTCTGTTGTGGCGAAGGAGATTGCAGAAAAGCAACAAGAATATGTCACTCGAAGAACAATTAATAATTACCGTCATAGAGAAGGATTAAAACCATTTCATATTATTCCAAAACCGCTAAAATCTGAAACTCACATATCAAATCGATTATGGCTCTGCGATTGATTAAAATATTGGAGTGAAGAGGATTTTCTTCATCTCGCACCATCTGATGAATTTTTTGTCTGGGTTGTTCGTCGACTAAATCATCAGAACGACCGAATTTGGGCAAAAACTGTCGATGACATTGAAGAAGATGAACGTTATCGTGAAATGATTAAAAATCAAGAATGCATTGGAATTTTTGTGATATTCACTGCTAAGAGGTTATATTGGGTGATTAATGATAAAGGTGAATCTTGGACTGGTCAGTATTTTCGTGATATAATTTTGACTGAACACGTCTTTCCATTCTTAAAAAATGAAGAAAATGCTATCGATCCCGATGAAGCTATATTTGTCCATGACAAAGCGCCATGTATGCGAGCATATCAGACCCAACATTTGCTTCAAGATAATGATGTTAACTTTTGGGGTAATGATATTTGGCCTGGAAATTCACCCGATCTCAATGTGGAAGAACATATTGGAAGAATAACCAGTTGAAAAAAAGATGTTATCAGAACCTGGACATTCTCGTTATCTTGAAGAAACACTCAAAATGCACATTTCACATGTTTTGAAAAACATGGAAACCGACACTGATTTATTTGAAACTCTTCTATGTTCGTATCCATCTCGACTACGTGCAGTAAAGAACTATAACGGTCGTCACACTGATTATTGATTGTTTTCATTAAACAATGAAAAAATAAAGAATTTTGTATCACATTTAGTTCGAACTTTATCTCATCAATAACTATTCTCACACCTATGATCAGTGAAATTTCCTAAGTTCGACATTTCAACATACGAAAGTTTCCATAACCCCTATTGTTTAGTAACAATAAACCCCATTTTCACGGACTTTCATTTGGTATAAAATTCATTATTAACTCTTTTTGGAAATATAGCGGTACCCCCCTATCAAAATATTTTTTCCAACCTAGTACTATCAACCGAAAACATTTCTTTTCATTATAAAATATGAAAATCCTCATCTCATATTCTTTTATTCATCATCAAAAATAATAAAAATATACTTTTCTCGCCCAAAACAATAATCAGTATTTGCAAATAATTACCTTACGTTTTCAGATAATTTCAGGGATAATTCAACTGATCGACTATTTCCAATAACATCAGGTATCTTCAACTACTCTTTCAAAATTAATATGTGCAAATGTACATATTAATTAATGTAGCTATCTTTTTAATTCGAATGTTTTATACTTCTTATTATGAATTAAATTCTACGTAGATATAATATTAAGTTACCACCTGATGAAGTTCTGTCAAAACGGAAACAACAATTTTCGTCGAAGATTACATCTAATCATACACCAACCAGAGATCCAAACGAACCGAACTTTTCCGACTCGAGTTCGGTTCCGTTCGGTTCCACCGAGTTTTCAGAAAGTTCGTTCGCTTTCGGATCGATTCAACTCGAGCCAATAAAACTAGTTAAAATAAGCTGTATTTTAGCATTTTAACCGTTCAGGTTCACTTATTTTGATTACCCTTCAAATTAGTAACTCGTTTCGGAGAAATGAAAGCGAACGATTGAGTACATAATATGATTATTCGAAACTCAAAACTGTCATAGATCCGAATCAAACTGCGATCGTCTGGTTCGGGATCGGGTTTGCTTCTCTTGGGCATATTTTTCAAAATATCAGTTCGGGTTTCGCTAGGTTCGATTCGAACCGAATGCAAATGTTTCAGTTCACTTCCATTCGGTTGGTTTTCATTCTCTGGCACCCACCACCCACCACCCAGACTCAGACCCACATCCGCACAGTCTCTCCTTGTTTTAATTCAGTCATCAAATACTGGCGGTATTCTTTCTAGAATTGTCCTTTCAAGTTTGGTTATATAAGACTATGCAGACCTACAGCCACCTGACGAAACCCTTGAGAAAGATCGCAACTAGTCATGACTTTCTTTTTCATGATACACATCCACAACCAGTGTGTATCGAATTAGATAACTAGAATAAACAATGATGATATAAGAAACCTCAAGAGTTATATGAATTCCACTCAATCTCGCCTTGAACATATGTTAATAAAGTCCTTCTCAAAAGAAACTGTTTGGAAATTGTTGTAAAAAAGTAACCAGTGTCTCGCGGGTTGAAATTTGTAACCAGGTCGACCGATTTTCTCACGAGTTTTTGACCGCTTAAGTCAAAAATTTCAACCGGTTGCATGTCTGATGTGAATGTAGATGTCCACACATTCAAAGTCATAAACGCACTCACACACTCACACCTACACTTAGATAAATCCAAATCCAAATCCAAATCCACACCCATACCCACACCAACACCTATACCCACACCACACTCTGCCCGATGCACGACATCACATCTTTTCGAACATTGGTGGTTTTAAACTAGTCGGCTTCCTTAGCTTTGTAACGAAAGCTACAAAAAATTACGTTCGTACGTCGTCTCTGAATGATGATACAAGACCAGATCAACGCTGCAAAAAACTCAAGAATACTCCACCATACCACAGGCCCTGTTTAATATTTCCATTGGAATACTGCATTTTTCCTATTCCATGCTGCTTACCATCTTTGAATTTCCCCTCGTATTTATCACCATCGGCCCAAATGAATACACCTTCACCCGTCCTTTTATCATCGACCCAATCACCTGTATATTTGTCACCGTTGGCGAAGTAACATGTGCCTCGCCCGTGCTGCTTACCATCTTTGTACTGACCCTCATATTTATCACCACCGGCCCGAATGAATACACCTTCACCCGTCCATTTATCATCGACCCAATCACCTGTGTATTTGTCACCGTTGGCGAAGTAATATGTGCCTCGCCCGTGCATCTTATCATCTTTGAACTGACCCTCGTATTTCTCACCAACGGCCCAAATGAATACACCTTCACCCGTCCTTTTATCATCGACCCAATCACCTGTGTATTTGTCACCGTTGGCGAAGTAATATGTGCCTCGCCCGTGCTTCTTATCATCTTTGAACTGACCCTCGTATTTATCACCTGCCCACTGCGTTTTAGAACCCCAGATCAATACACCTTCACCCGTCCTTTTATCATCGACCCAATCACCTGTGTATTTGTTACCGTTGGTGAAGTAATATGTGCCTCGCCCGTGCATCTTATCATCTTTGAACTGACCCTCGTATTTATCACCATCGGCCCAAATGAATACACCTTCACCCGTCCTTTTATCATCGACCCAATCACCTGTGTATTTGTTACCGTTGGTGAAGTAATATGTGCCTCGCCCGTGCTTCTTATCATCTTTGAACTGACCCTCGTATTTATCACCATCGGCCCAAATGAATACACCTTCACCCGTCTTTTTATTATCGACCCAATCACCTGTGTATTTGTTACCGCTGGCGAAGTAACATGTGCCTCGCCCGTGCTTCTTATCATCTTTGAACTGACCCTCATATTTATCACCATTGGCCCAAATGAATACACCTTCACCCGTCCTTTTATTATCGACCCAATCACCTGTGTATTTGTTACCGTTGGCGAAGTAATATGTGCCTCGCCCGTGCTTCTTATCATCTTTGTACTGACCCTCGTATTTATCACCACCGGCCCGAATGAATACACCTTCACCCGTCCATTTATCATCGACCCAATCACCTGTGTATTTGTTACCGTTGGCGAAGTAAGATGTGCCTCGCCCGTGCTTCTTACCATCTTTGTACTGACCCTCGTATTTATCACCATTCGCCCAAATGAATACACCTTCACCCGTCCTTTTATTATCGACCCAATCACCTGTGTATTTGTTACCGCTGGGGAAGTAATATGTGCCTCGCCCGTGCTTATTGTCGTTTTGAAATTGTCCCGGTTACTTTTCGCTTATTACGTTGGCCAATGGATTTTGGCAGAATAAGTGATTTAGTCGATGGTGAGAGATTTGTGAATATTTTGCCTCATACCTGGCACCGTTTGAATATATGTGGATGCGATAGTTTGTTTCATTGTTGTAGCTGACATCAGTTGTTTCTTCTAAAAACAGAAGGAAATGTACAAAGTATTTTAGAACGAGTTTGAGAAGAGTTTTGTAATTGAAAGACCATGTTGTTTGGTAGAGGTTAGAAAGATTTAGGTTTTCGATTTATCGTATGCATTGCGATGTAGGTTGGGTTTTACTGCGAGAAATCGATGTGACGTGTTTTAGTACGATCGTAATGGAAAGCGGCATTACGAGGAATGGGTTGGTTGGTTTGCAGTTAAGGTTGTGTATTGTAGGATGTAAGTGCTTGGTGCGGTTTAGATATCATTTCACTCAGATACATCGATGCCTACACTGAATTTAGATCCTTGGTGGTGCGGGTGTGAAGTGACTACAAAATTGTCATCTATGGTTATTGTTACAGACACATGCTAGATGCCTTGACACATGTCAGTTCTTATCGATATGTGTTTATTCGATTCGCAGTCTTTGACGCCTTTTCTTCTCTTATCGTAATGCTCTCTCTCTCGCTTGAGTCAATTGAATCGAAATAAAAACGAAGGTCGAGAAGGCATAAAAAAGGGATGTTCTAATGGTTATTAGAAGTGTTCTACTCTATCATATTGTCTCAGACTTTTCCGCAGAAAAACAATGTTTGGGCCATCTGGAATAGCTTATAATGGATGACAACTAGAGTGGCCACCATATCATAATGGCTAACAGTTTGAGCATTCAAATGAATATATAATTAAGCGAGAGAAGATGGATACTTTGGGGAATCATCTTCAAAATGGTCAGTTAGATGTTCAGCGTGAGTTGGAAATAAGATGGGAACAAACTTGCTTCTGTGGTAATCATTGGAAAGTGATTCATCATTTTGTATTTCGTCAGCGAACTAGACTATTAATAGAAAAATAGTTTAGAGAATGCGATTCATATAGCATATGATTCACTGAAAGAGATCTAAAGTACGAATTATTGAACAATAGCGGGAAAATGTCCTCAGGTTAATTAATACTCGGCTGTTATATGTGGTACGCTTTTCGAAGATGACTGAGAATCTCCATC